TTAGTGACCTCACACGACTACGTATATTTAGCACACTACCCACTAACCCCATCCATGCACAGCCACCAACCATGTCACAGATTGTTTCCAGCGCAGAGTGTCCTGAGTTAGCTCTAAGAAAAATTTGAATATCTTGAGCTTCATGCCCTAATGCCACAAAATAATCTGTGTGGGATGTGTAATAAGTGGACTATTTGTTAAAGGTATAATGTAAGTAAACTATTTTAAAGTTTTATATCCAAATAAAATGTTTTAAATAAATTAATAATTCATAACTAATAATATTAAGTAAAATAACAGAAAAAAGTAGTTACAAATCATATGTAATATAATTAACATCTAATAAATCCTTATTAATGGAGATTATATTTGTCCTTTTGCATTTATTTTTTCCATAAACATTGAAATTAAACTTTAATGGGAATGATAATTAATTCATTTCTACAGTTTTTCCATTAGAGTCACATATACAATAGAATTATTGCAGACAAACAGGTGAATAAAGATGGGAGTATTTGCAGGCAAATTCCCAGTGAAAGTTCAATTTATCATCTTTATAAATGGGGCAAATATCTGTTTTAAAATCTGGAATAAAATTAAAAGTGTATCTACAGCCAAATATAAACAAAAAAGCTGCATTTGTGTCATAAATAATATAATAAATACTGTAGGTAAAGCTGCAACCACACTATGGGATATTTACTACAGTGACCATAATATTTAACAAAAATGTATTGCGCTAAATTACACAAATACAATATAACATAACACACACACAAAAAATGTCCCATTAACGAGTGATTTAATCCACCTGTTTACAGCTCCAAATACATATGTGTCAAACAATGTTCGTGTTCCCACCCCAAGAGAGGCTCTTCTGCCACCAAATAACTACAATCTAAGGCTTACCGGAAATACATGACCCTCATATTATAGAGAACTAATTTACTGCATATAATAATAATGATCACCACCAGGCTTCAGACTCATGTACACTTTGTACAGTTGGTAAAACCCTCGATCTGATCACACAGCATCCATGCATGCTCGGAAAAAAAGAACAGGAGATCAAATGCTCCAAATAGTATAAAATCTCAAATACCAGTTTTATTAACTTGAAATAAACTTTCAGCAGAAGTAGTGGGCCAGTCAACAGTAAATAGCTTCAAACATGCTATATCAAGCATAGATCTATACTCAGACACAAAAGTGAACAAAAAACAGACAAACTCCACCCACCCACCAAAAAAAAAAAAAAAACACACACAAAAATAAAAAACAGGCAGACTCAATGGACCACACGTTCTTTTTCTGCCATCACTTTTCGATGTTTCTATGTTTCTATTGACACATACAATGCACATATAAAGGAGGAAGCAACTGCACAGTAAAAAAAAAAATCACAATTCCAGCCTGCAATAGTTCACTTCTGGATTGTTTCCAGTAGCATGATGATGTCAGTACATACCCCACGTGTTTCATCAGAATTGATGTCTATTTTTTTTGGGGGGGGATGACATTTTGTAACTCTTTGGATAGAGTGGGGAAGAATTAGATCTCTTGTCAGGTTTTACTACCATTGGATGCTCTGTTGAAAAGATTTTTTTTATTTCCAGTCTGGTAAAAAGGTTATCACCAAGATAGGAACTGACAGGAAATCTCTTCAAGAGCACCATGGATAGAGAATGCTAGAACCTCTCTCAGGTTTTATTTGCTTGTTTCTCTGTTGCATTTTTCACCTCACTTCCTGTCTGGTAAAAGATTGTTACCAGAACAGGATGTAAAGGAAAATGTCTCAATGGAGCCCTGGGTTTAGATACACTTTAAGAGAACAGGAAAATTCACAGCAAAAATAATGAAATGTATTTGCTGTATCAGGGGCAGACTGACAACTCATGGGGCCCCCGGGCAATAGGGGATCATGGGGACCCTGTGTCCTCACCCACACTCAAACTACACCCAAAAAAGCCTATGAAAGGTACCAGGGACATCTCATGGGGCCCCCTACTGACCCTGGGCCTCTGGCAGTGCCCGAGTTCCCTAATGGTCAGTCCACCCCTGTGCTGTATAACATGATTACATGGAAAAAATTAAAACCTTTTTTTAAATAGTGACCAATTTATATATTAAACTTTGTGAAAAATGTTATAATTTTTCAAAACACATAATTTGGTGGTTTAGAAAACTTGAATAGACTGAAATACTAAGTTTCTTTTAATTTCCATAGTGAATGCATAGAGATTTTGTAAATATTCTCTTTCTTTAATTATTGTGGTCAAAACTACAAAATGAAATGTAAAAAATAATTTTTTTTGAGTCAGCAAAAATGAAACATTAGGCTTGTGCTTTATTATAAAGAGTGCACTGTTTACTGAGCTCAGTAGCTTACGCTTAAAGTATAGCTAAAGGCAAAATGTTTTATTTTTAGTTTTGGATACAGTGGAAAGAGATTAGAACACCTATCTAGTTTTTTATTTCTGTCTGTGCCCATTATAAAGATTCACCTTCTCTGTTTGTCCTGTTTACCTTTTACACCATGAGTGAAAGTAAAAGAAAATCCCAAGTTTTGGGTTGTCACCAGAACAGTAATAGAGGGGAAACCTTCCAACAGTAGTTTTGGTGACCCTGGCGAAACCCGGGATTCCCTCAAGTTGGAGGGGTTTCTTCTCACTTCCTTTTTCTTGACAGGGGTTATAACCCTCCCTAGCTCTATTCAAAATGAAAGGTTGCTGTTAAATCTGCTTTAAATGTACACATGTAAGTGAATGAGTCAGATAACTAACTCCTGTTCTTCAGCCCCCCAACTTCTGAACACCTACAGTCAGGTCCATAAATATTGGGACATTGACACAATTCTAACATTTTTGGCTCTATACACCACCACAATGGATTTGAAATGAAACAAACAAGATGTGTTTTAACTGCAGACTGTCAGCTTTAATTTGAGGGTATTTACATCCAAATCAGGTGAACGGTGTAGGAATTACAACAGTTTTCATATGTGTCTCCCACTTGTTAAGGGAACAAAAGTAATGGGACAATTGGCTTCTCAGCTGTTCCATGGCCAGGTGTGTGTTATTCCCTCATTATCCCAATTACAATGAGCAGATAAAAGGTCCAGAGTTCATTTCAAGTGTGCTATTTGCATTTGGAACCTGTTGCTGTCAACTCTCAAGATGAGATCCAAAGAGCTGTCACTATCAGTGAAGCAAGCCATCATTAGGCTGAAAAAACAAAACAAACCCATCAGAGAGATAGCAAAAACATTAGGCGTGGCCAAAACAACTGTTTGGAACATTCTTAAAAAGAAGGAACGCACTGGTGAGCTCAGCAACACCAAAAGACCCGGAAGACCACGGAAAACAACTGTGGTGGATGACCGAAGAATTCTTTCCCTGGTGAAGAAAACACCCTTCACAACAGTTGGCCAGATCAAGAACACTCTCCAGGAGGTAGGTGTATGTGTGTCAAAGTCAACAATCAAGAGAAGATTTCACCAGAGTGAATACAGAGGGTTCACCACAAGATGGAAACCATTGGTGAGCCTCAAAAACAGGAAGGCCAGATTAGAGTTTGCCAAACGACATCTAAAAAAGCCTTCACAGTTCTGGAACAACATCCTATGGACAGATGAGACCAAGATCAACTTGTACCAGAGTGACGGGAAGAGAAGAGTACGGAGAAGGAAAGGAACTGCTCATAATCCTAAGCATACCACCTCATCAGTGAAGCATGGTGGTGGTAGTGTCATGGCGTGGGCATGTATGGCTGTCAATGGAACTGGTTCTCTTGTATTTATTGATAATGTGACTGCTGACAAAAGCAGCCGGATGAATTCTGAAGTGTTTCGGGCAATATTATCTGCTCATATTCAGCCAAATGCTTCAGAACTCATTGGACGCTTCACAGTGCAGATGGACAATGACCCAAAGCATACTGCAAAAGCAACCAAAGAGTTTTTTAAGGGAAAGAAGTGGAATGTTATGCAATGGCCAAGTCAATCACCTGACCTGAATCCGATTGAGCATGCATTTCACTTGCTGAAGACAAAACTGAAGGGAAAATGCCCCAAGAACAAGCAGGAACTGAAGACAGTTGCAGTAGAGGCCTGGCAGAGCATCACCAGGGATGAAACCCAGCGTCTGGTGATGTCTATGCGTTCCAGACTTCAGGCTGTAATTGACTGCAAAGGATTTGCAACCAAGTATTAAAAAGTGAAAGTTTGATTTATGATTATTATTCTGTCCCATTACTTTTGGTCTTAACAAGTGGGAAGCACATATGCAAACTGTTGTAATTCCTACACCGTTCACCTGATTTGGATGTAAATACCCTCAAATAAAAGCTGACAGTCTGCAGTTAAAGCACATCTTGTTTGTTTCATTTCAAATCCATTGTGGTGGCGTATAGAGCCAAAAATGTTAGAATTGTGTCGATGTCCCAATATTTATGGACCTGACTGTACGTAGCCTCCCTAGCGGTCTGATTATGTCAATATTTCTGTGCTCAAAGCGGTAAATTTTTTTGCATGGAAATATATATTTTTTTTATTGTAGGCCTGTAATTTTTAGGAATAACTCACTGAATTCTCTCCGAACAAGAGTCTAGTAAACATCCCGGGTATGTTAAAATTTGAAACACGAAATCATAAATTATAATTTAATAAATAATCATTAAAAATAATAATATAATAATAATACATTTAATTCAATAATATAATCAAACCAAAAACACTGAAATTTTGAAATATAGCGCCAAGTTCGCACATCACTGAGCAAAGTCGCAAAATCGTTTTCAGTGTCTGATGATGAATTTCCCCACAAATCATTATCACTCAATTCTGCAAGTGGTTCTAATTTATTATCGCTGTTCTCTAGCTGGTCTAAAACCACTTTTGACCTAAAGGGATGCTTTTTGGTCGCCATGGACATTTCTCAGTTTCAAGGCAGAAAGAACGGTAAAAATGCAGGCAGGGCACAGGACAAAGCTCTAGAGACAAAATGTATGTGAAATGGTTTGATACAGTAATGTTTTACTACGTGATTTTAGTGTATTTACTGAATGTCACTTTTTCACATTTTTACATTTCCCGCCGTTCCGTCCCCCATACGTCCTGACGTCGCAAGGAACGGAACCCAGAAGACAGATGCCGGCATTGGCCGGAGGACATTGCCGGGGGCAAAGGACAAGGTAAGTGAAGAAGAGGTCCCGGAGCAGCGCTGCAAGGTATTCCTGAGTGTAGCTCGGGGTTACCGCTTGTGGTGCTGAAACTTTACCCTGAGCTACACTCGGGAATACCGCCAGGGGGTTAAAAAGCAATAACATCTGCTGAGCTGTGTTTTTACATAACCTATAGCGCTCTAGGAATAAATTATCATGTTTTCAATTTGTATTTGTAATATGAAGCAGATTATTAATATTATTATTATTATACAGGATTTATATAGTGCTAACAGTTTATGCAGCGCTTTACAATATAAAGGGAGGCAGTACAATTACAATACATTTCAGTACAGAATGAATAGGAAGGCCCTGCTCATGTATCTTACAATCTAAAGGAAGGGGAAGGTGATAGTTGCAGGGGATGATCTGATGGAAGTGGCTGAAGTACAGTTCTTAGGTGGAGGTGGGGTAAGCTTCCCTGAATACGTGCGTTTTCAAAGATCGCCTAAAGGCAGACAGGGTGGGGGCTGACCGGACATACTGTGGTAGGGAGTTCCAGAGGATAGGAGAGGCTCTGGAGAAGTCCTGGAGGTGAGCGTGGGAGGAGGTGACGAGGGAGCTAGAAAGCAAGATGTCTTGGGAGGAGCGGATCTGGTGATTTGGACGATATCTGTGGATGAGTTTGGTGATGTAGCTAGGGGCAGTGTTGTGGATGGCTTTGTATGTTGTTAGTATTTTGAATTTTATACGGGTTAGTGGAAGCCAATGAAGGGATGGGTAGAGAGTGGCAGCAGTCGCTGATCGGTTGGTAAGGTGTATGAGTCTAGCAGCAGCATTCATAATAGACTGAAGGGGGATAACCTGTGTAACGGTAGGCCAGTGAGGAGGGAATTGCAGTAATCAAGGCAGGATATTTATATAGATCTCAGTTTAACAAACAATCATTATTATTTACCTAAGACACCTATTGCCATGTTAAATAAATGCAACTAGCACTTACAGCATAGAATTGTCTTTGCCAGGTGCCTAGATAACCAGTCAGACACCTTTTAAAGCAGAACTCTAGGCAGATATAAAATACAGAAATGAATGCACGTCTGTTTGTAATTACTGTATTATTTTATGTATTTTAAAATACAAGCAGTGTAAGTACCTGAATCTGACTTGGTATCAGTCTCTTGCAGTCCCCAAACAGCAGTGCTGTAGTGTGAGAGTAAGAAGCAATTTAAACAGCAAATCGGTTATGGTGCAGACAAGTAGTACGCTGTTAGAAAGAGAAAGCAGAGTGGCAGAGAGATGAGTTCATCACTGTGTTACTACTCCCTTCACCGTGTAGTTACAGAATGGGGAAATACCAGGATGAAAAATGAAATGGAAAACAAGAAGCGCACCAGCCTTGCGCATTACCTCAATAACCAAAATTTATTGCTTGTAAAAAAACATACTCACAAACAGCGAATAAAATCAGGCATGTAAGTCCTCTCAGGGACTTGAAGATAACAAGAGTCCCATCTGGGAAATGGGTGTTCAGTACAGCTGACGCGTTTTCGAAGGGGATCCCTTCTTCCTCAGAGCTAACTGAACCATAAGTGCTCCCTCCTATATATACTCATACCTCTGGACTAAAACTAAGCCCTCCCAGCCGGGTTGGGCAGTCTCAGGATAGTAGGAGGGGCCAGAATCTCATAAACTGACCATCAATATTTGCAATGCCATTAGAGAGAAAAAACATATAAATTATAAAATATATAAAAATGCATAAAAAACATATATAAAAAATATATATAATATATATAAAAAAATTAATAGAATCTATCTATGAAGAACCCACATTTTGCATACACCACTTAGTGTGCATCTAATCCCTCAATTTGACGGTGACACCAAAGGAGATGATGATCATCAACGATTATAAATAATTGTCATGTTCCGTGTAACATTAGTGAACAATGTGTCCCATGGACTTCATCCAGAGGACTTGTCATAACGCTGGATGGAAATATAGCGATCAATGTGACAATAGTCATAGATTCTTAATACAGATTGTTAATCGCCGGATATCTTAATGGTTAAGTGTCCATAGTGACACAACCACATGTGTGTATAATGTACAAACATCTAGACATATCCACCCACACTCAGACCTTCAACCCGGAGCTGTATGTTTTTTGTATTTTATGTATTTTATGTATTTAATACCACCAGGCAGCTGCATGCGTTTTATGATCCGATAATGAAGAGGATTAGATCAGAACTCTTGAATCCACATATATATATATTTACAAACCCACAGACATATACATCCCCACTCCGACCTTCAACCCGATGCTGTGTATTTTTTATATATATATATATCACCAGGCAGCTGCATGCGTTTCACGATCCGTTGATGAAGGGGATTAGATCAAATGTTCTTGGATCCATGATGCTTTGTAGTCAGCTGCAGAGGGAGGGACATGAACTTCCCTCATTTGCTTGCTGGTTTACCCTGTGTGTGGAACGCACGCTAATACTCCATGCTCATAACTGTGCATGCGTGAACCAACATGCGCATGCGCAGTATGAGAAGGAAGGAAGGTCCGTCTGCGCGATCACGTGGGCCCCCTTCACGCGCATTTGACGGCCACTTTGTACGCGTGTGCTAACCCCGCTCTACTGGGTCAGATACCCGACATGCTAATCCCGCCCCCAACCTCTGACGAGGCTCTCCTTAGGGGAAAAGACCTGTCTGGGAATTCCCCTCTGGCCGACTTCCTGTTGTGTGTACCTTCAAACCAATCAAAATGAGGTGGTCAGACCGCTCTGGCTGAGATCCATCAAACCTGAATTGGCAGTATGTTAAAGGTCTTGGGGGCTTATTAGTTCACACCAGACTACTAACAGCCATATAAAAAAAAAAAAAAAAAAAACTACTAAAGAGACCATATGTGTCCTTATAGTATGGGGCAATGAGAAGAAAAAATTATTATTGTCAGGGCTAATCCTAGATTACCACATTCCTTACACTCAGAACATTCCTGTTAATAACAGAATATGTGTTACTAAATACAAAAAATATATTAAATATATCAAATATATTAGATACATCGAATCTATTGTATACATCGAATACATCAAACATATTCAATACATTTAAATCGCAAACTGAACTTGGGGTGGAACAGTAGAGATCGCTAATTGTGTTTAGTACTATCCTGGTGACTAAATAAGAGTATGAAATCTCCAGGTCATCATTTAAGCCTCTAGGGGACAAAGTACCCAATGTGAAGATCCAAAAACTTTCTCTTCTACAGAGTTCTTGGTGTCCTCCTCTCCACTATCTAAGTCCTTTGTGATTGCTTCTATTCCAAAGACTTTCAGTCCGTCGTAATTGCTCTGATGTATTTCTTTGAAATGTCGGGGGACTGAATATTTATCTTTTGCCAATTTTATATTACTTTTTGTGCTCGCTGATACGTGTCCTAAGACACCGTGAGGTGCGGCCTACATAAAGTAGGCCACAGGGGCAAATTAAGCCATAGATGACAAAAGACGTCCCACAGTTGATGAACTGTTTGATGGAAAATCTCCTGCCATCTGTGCTCAAGAAATCTTTTTTCCGATGCCATATGACTCCACATGTGCCACAATTGGGAACGCTACATCTGTAGCTGCCCTTTTGGTCGAATAGCACTGACCATGGACCTGGTTAGATGTCTGCTGGTAGTTCCTTTTACGTACTCTACTGGGCGCTATTATGCTCCTGAGATCCCTTCGTTTTTTTACAAGCAATAAATTTTGGTTATTGAGGTAATGCGCAAGGCTGGTGCGCTTCTTGTTTTCCATTTCATTTTGCAGTGCTGATTGGGCTTCCCCAGCCTTGGTTTGGAGCTGCACAGCCCTTTATGCAGTGGTGGTCGTTTTTCTCCCCAGGCCCGGTTCCATCTTGTGCCACCTGTCCTGAGTCCTGGAGCGCAGGAGAATTCTTTTTCGATTTTCCGTGAAATACCAGGATGACCCAGGCTTATAGGAACTGGGTTGAGTGATGGACAAAAAAAAAAGTATCGTGTGGAAATATTTGGATTGAGAGTGAATTCTGCAGCAGCAATTTTTTATTTTTTTTACGTTGAATTTTTGGGGCTTTTCATTTTTATATTTTGTTGTCTTTGGCTTGAGTCCAGCTTAACTTCAATTTCAGATGCCAATCTCAGGCCTCTACCTCTAGTTTACACATAGCATACAGAAAGTTATATATACACTATATTGCCAAAAGTATTGAGATGCCTGCCTTCACATGCACATGAACATTAATGGCATCCCATCTTAGTCCGTAGGGTTCAATATTGAGTTGGCCCACCTTTTGAAGAGATAACAGCTTCAACTCCTCTGGGAAGGCTGTCCACAAGGTTTAGGAATGGGAATGTTTGACCATTCTTCCAGAAGCACATTTATGAGGCCAGGCACTGATGTTAGATGAGAAAGACCTGGCTCGCAGTCTCTGCTCTAATTCATCCCAAATGTGTTCTATCTGGTTGTAGTCAGGACTCTGTACAGACCAGTCAAGTTCCTCGACCCCAAACTCACTCATCCATTTCTTTATGAATCCCTGCTTTGTGCACTGGTGCGCAGTTATGTTGGAACAGGAAGTGGCCATCCCCAAACTGTTCTCACAAAGTTGGGAGCATGAAATTGCCCAAAATGTCCTGATATGCTGATGCCTTAAGAGTTCTCTTCACTGGAATTAAGGGGCCAATCCAAACCCCTGAAAAAACAACCTCACACCATAATTCCCCCCTCGACCAAACTTTACACTTGGCAAAATGCAGTCAGGCAAGTACTGTTCTCCAAGCGACCGCCAAACCCAGACATGTCCATTGGATTGCCAGATAGAGAAGCATGATTTGTGACTCCAGAGAACACGTCTCTACTATTCTAGAGTCCAGTGGTGGCTTGCTTAACACCAATGCATCCCACGCTTTGCATTGCACTTGGTGATGTACAGCTTGGATGCAGCTGCTCGGTCATTGAAAACCATTCCATGAAGCTCTCTGCTGCACACTATTGTTGTGCTAATCTGAAGGCCACATGAAGTTTGGAGGTCTTTAGCTATTGACTCTGCAGACAGGTAGCGACTTCTGAGCACTCTGCGCTTCAGCATGTGCTGACCC